GGCGACAGGGTTAGGCATTCTGCCGTCATAATAAAAAAGGAAGTAACTAACAAAAACGTAAAATGGAAATAAAAAATAAATTGATGAATTTTTCTTTCAGACCCCGTATCTAAAGTATATTAAAAGGTATCTATATTGAAATATATACGTAGAGACATGAAGATTTTAAGGAGGAACTTATTTATTTTTAATTTGTTTATTTATTTAAATAAAACGAATTTTCCTTTTCATCTTAGATTAAAAAAGTACACCTGGCAACACAAAAACATCGAAGGAAAGACGCATATAACTATTTGGGTCTTCCCAACCTAATAAATAAAACAAAACTACCATTCATCATCATCATTCATCATTACAGCCCTTCACAAGTCCACTGCTGAACATAGGCCTCCCCCAAAGAATGCCACAAAGCACGGTCCTGAGCCACCTGCATCCATCGACTTCCTGCAAATCTTACCAGGTCGTCACTCCATCTAGTGGGGGGACGCCCTACACTTCGCCTGCCGGTACGAGGCTGCCACTCGAGAACCTTTCTTCCCCATCGGTTGTCGGTTCTTCGAGCTATATGGCCGGCCCATTGCCACTTCAGCTTACTAATCCGTTGGGCTATGTCGGTCACTCTGGTTCTACTGCGGATATCCTCATTTCTGAGTTTATCACGCAGAGAAACTCCGAGCATAGCCCTCTCCATAGCTCGCTGAGCAACCTTGAGCTTCCTCATCCGGCCAGCAGTGAAGGACCACGTCTCAGTTCCGTATGTCATCACTGGCAACACGCACTGGGTGTACAGTCTCGTTTTCAAGTTTTGAGGTATACCTGACGAGAAGATGTGCCGTAATTTCCCGAACGCTGCCCAACCGAGTTGAATCCGTCGATTGACCTCTCGGTCGAAGTTGGACTTACCTAGTCGGACTATTTGTCCCAGGTAAACATACTCGTCAACAACTTCGAGCTTAGTGTTCCCAACAACTACCGGCATAGGTGTGACATGGACATTAAACATGATCTTTGTTTTGTCCATGTTCATCTTAAGACCTATCCGTTGGGAAACACTATTGAGGTCATTGAGCATAGTGCTTAGGTCCTCCAGCGATTCTGCCATAAGGACTATATCGTCGGCAAATCGAAGGTGAGTGATGTACTCGCCATTGATGTTGATACCGTATCCTTTCCAGTCCAGAAGCTTGAAAACATCTTCCAATGCAGCGGTGAAGAGTTTCGGGGATATGACGTCACCCTGTCTTACACCTCTCTGCAATTGGATAGGTTTCGTACTCTGGTTCTGTACTCGGATAGCCATCGTAGCCCTACTGTACAAGCACTTCAACACTTCGATATACCGATAGTCAACTTGGCATCGCTGAAGGGACTGCAGCACCGCCCAAATTTCGACGGAATCAAAGGCTTTCTCATAGTCCACATACGCCAGACATAGTGGCAAATTGTACTCCTCGGACTTCTGTACAATTTGCCTTTTTCTACCATTCATTTAACATTTTTACATATTTTGGAAAGGTCATTTGAAGTTGAAAGGACGCTAATAGTAATTTACTACTTTTTTCTTAGTAAATATTAGAAAAGCATTGGTAGTGAGACACAAAAAATAACAACCCGCAACTCTTGAGTAATGATTTTAAAGGGGATATCATACAAGACTTACTATATAACTCAAAAACTATTGGTCTGACCTCGATCAAATTTATATGGGACCACATGTGAAACACCAGCTCTTAATAATAAGATATGAGCTCTTAATAATAAGATATAAAATAATAAGACAAGAATAATTTTAATTTAAGTAATCGATGCAAATATTGTTAAAGATGACGTAGCAACTGGTTAAATAAGTCTTTTCTTTTATGTTGAATTTGTATAAGTCTTTTCTACTAATAAAATGTCATCTGTGATCAACAGCTACATCTAAAATTCTGACGATAATTTCTAAAATATTGATATTAGTGAATATTAAAAAAATTTAGTAGATGCGTCTTCTTATCATGAGTCGAATGGTAATTTATTCCAAAATTGTTAGATGCGCCTTTTTTTCTTATGACCGCAGCATTGTTTCATACCGAGCTAGATACAGGTCGACAGCGGAGTGAGTGTGGGTACAGTCGCGTTCTAAAGTACTACATGGTATTGGGCTATTGTTTTATAATATTATAGTAATTAATTGTTTTATTGTAGAATCATAATAGGTGTTTTACTAGCTACTTAGAACTTTGGAAGAGGTGGGAATTAAAAATAGATAATGTTTACTTGAGCATTGTTTGTTATTTCTATCGTAAAATATAAAGTAGTTTGTAACAAAAAAACTTAAGCTAAGGGTGACACGCCGTCCATTATGACGTCTTGGGTCACATGGAAGCCAGATGTTGATGGTGTGTTGGTGTTACTGGATGCTACTTCATCATCACTTTCATCTTCGCTTGAGCTTCCGTCATCAGGTCGATCACATGGTAATTTTTTCAGTATTCTTCCTCAACAATTTTAACTTTACTGCACAATTTTCCCCATTCACCTTCTCCTATCATATTTACCTTTTCGTTCACTAGTTTAGTCATAAAACAATAGATATAAATATTTTTTTTTCCTTCCTTTTTAAAACATCGTCGCGAGTCGCAAAGTAAGCTGTGTATGCGACTGTATTTTTGGAGCCTGCACCCAAATCTACCTTGAAATGAATGGAGCACAATTTGAGCTGCATCTCATAAGACCACGGAGGATTTAGAGCGGTAAGCTGTTTCATAACTATTTTTTTTAAATAACTTAGTACTGAACTAATCTGAATAGGTACATAACTGAATACGTGAGAATAATAAACATACCTACACGATGAATAAAAACGCATGACTCCAACCTTGGTTACATTTCATTTAAGTATTTTTTCATTAGCGTATGTAGTGGTATGGCCCGCTAGTTGCGGGCCGCGCGAATTTGCGTTCGCGAGTACATTGACCTTTAGTCAGGTGATACAATTCAGTCATTCCACTGCTGGTTTTATGTTTCAGTATTTTCATGATATTTTTTATGAAATTATCGTTTCATTTAGCTGTACTAACATGATGGCGCGTGAATAAAGCTAATAAAACGTTGTTAAAAGATGATTTTTTTTTCATCAGGATCGAATTTATTTGTGACCCATGATCAAAGGTGTACTTGGTGCTGTCGCCTGTCTTAGTTTTCGGGAGCGTTCCAAAAATACCCTGTATAAAGAACACCTTATGTATTCAATTATTTTTTTAGAAAGAAGAAAAAGCAAGCAATAAATATAATTTAGTCATACTAATTATAACTTAGAACATAAATCAAAAAATCATGACAAGGAAGTGGTTCAGGACCACGCTTTGCGGCAGTCTATGGAGGAGGATTTTCAGTAGTGGACTTGTGTAAAGCTGTAACGATGATGATGATGATTTGAAAACTTGGATGATTAAATTATTAGAAATCGATGTGCTACATCATTTTTATCATATTTAGCTTTAACTTCTTGAACTGTTTAAAACTAAATCATAGTGAGGTAGTAAAACATTAAAATAATGTTGTCGTGTGCCTTAATATTAAATTCTTAATTATTTATATTTAATTTGAACTAATTATTAAATTAAAAGTAGTTTCGAATATATTACTGTGCTTCACTTACCTACAATAGGTTACCTATCAAGAACTCAAAAGGCATAAATAACCCTATACCAAAGTAAAATACAAAGGTAGCTGGAATTTGAGCCATAACATCTTTTTTTCTTATACTTAGTCGTTTATAAAATTATTCATGAAATAATATGATATTGATATATTGTAAATAAATGTTCATTAAATTTTTGGGTAAATAACCTATCGAGTGGCAGCCTCGTACCGGCAGGCGAAGTATTGAGCGTCCCCCCACTAGATGGAGTGACGACCTGGTAAGATATGTAGAAAGTCGATGGATGCAGGTGGCTCAGGACCGTGCTTTGTGGCATTCCTTGGGGGAGGCCTATGTTCAGCAGTGGACTTGTGAAGGGCTGTAATGATGATGATGAACCTATCGATTAAAACAAAAGTTTAAAAATATTGTGTGTTAAACAAAATAGTAGGAATTTTTAAAGTTGAAATTGCACTAAAAGGATGACCAGCCTAATAGGGGCATCCACCCTAACATTTTTAGGACGCTGCTGCAAACTATAGTTGCACTAAATGTTTTTTCCTAACGGTTTATTACTTCGATATATTTTTCTAAAATTATGAAAGATATATCTCTAAATAGGAATGAGACGCCGAAATAAAGTTTATTTTAATTACTAAAGACAAGTATAGGTATGCAAGTAGGTACTTGGATAGTGAAATAAATTTCAAAAATTTTTGTAATAAAGTACTTAGGTATTAGGTATGTACTTCTGTAATTAAATTATTACTTAATTCTTTTTTGCTATACTTAAGTACCTATCTAACAAAAAAATTAAATATATTCACTATCCTTCGGTATAACTTAATAAAATGATACCTACGTCTAAATCCTTTTGTATGCTCATTAAGCATCCATCCACGCAATAATTATAGTAGGAACGACGTTTTGCCAATATAATTTATCAAATAGATATGCAATATACATATATATATTAAGTAAGTATATTCAAATTACATTAAAACTTTTTCATCTATTTGTTTAAATAAATATTATACTAAACACTAAACAAAAACTATTTCAACAAGTATTTATAACTATTTACGTAAACAGTGTTAAAAACTTTTAACATTCAATCGCTTAGCTTAGGCACAGGATAAATAATAGTAGGTACTAACGTACAGAAGTTGCACTCTTTTGATATTGACTACCTGATGCCTGCCGACGTTTTAATAACCTACATTATTATTATTAATTAGATAAATCGCGCACGCAAGCTAAATAAAACTTTATCGCTGCGCGCGAGTGTCCGTATTAATTTGTATCTTTTCCCCTTCCTACGTAACTTTCCGTAGTTACTTAGGGCTGTCAATAAAAAGTAAAAAATACCGTAATTATAACTTATGATAATTTATTTACTTTACAGTTGTTTTACTTTAATATAATGCTTAATACATTTTTTTCCGTCTCTAAAATACCGGTTATTAAATTTAATTGTGGAAAAAACTTTAAACCTTACATATAATTTTAGTAAATAATAAAAAGGAAAACATGGACATGGAGTGATAAAATTGATATTTGTTAATAATTGTAGTAATTTGTTTGCTGGTTTTTTCAAAATTACATATTCAAAATTATGAATTAATATATTTTCTAATTCTTTTACATAATTGATAAAATCAACAGGTGGAATTTTTAAGCTACCGTAAAAAGATGCTTTTTTATTATATGCTTTAAAATAAGAATATATTTTCGAATCAGTTTGGGGGAGGGATGATTTTTTTAAATATTCGGTAAATTTTGTACATGTATGTTTTATTTTACATTTATGAAGTAGGTATCCGGCCACGTATGTTATCGCGTATTATGTTGGCACGTCAAATCGATAGTCTTTCTCCCCTTCCAATCTAACCGTTACTGAAGTTTCTTGTGTACTTGGTAAACTTAATGATTTTATTTCTTTTAAAGTAGAGTTTCCTTTTAAGAGCAAATCACAAATGTTTCCTTCGCAGTTACTGGATGGAGAATTTCTCACCATATTAGAAATGAATAACTTCGAAAAGGCTCTCGTAAACTGAATCGGGGTAGGTTCTCTGCAGTTCCCTCCTTGTTGGGGTATCGCGCCAAAAAAAATTTCAAGCGGGTCTTGGTTCAGTCTCCTAGTAAAGATAAAATGTATGCCTTCCTTTTTTAAATCTATGCTTAGATTAATAATTGCCTGCAACGTTATTTGTATATTTTTAAAAGTTTTTATTTTATTCGTATTGTTAGTACCCGTTTTACGATTTATGGCAATGATTTCGCTAAATATTTTCTTTGCAGCGTCTAATATCTGAATTTGGTAATCATTTAAGCTAAATGCTACTTGATTCTTGTTAGTGCTTTTAGTTTTGGATGAATTAAGAACATCAAATAAATCGTTCATTGATATTACAAAATTTGCAGTTGATGTTGCTTCCTCAGGTAACATTTTTGCGTAAATATATGTTTTAAGTGCACCATACACACTTTGACTAAAAATTTGTGCGGCATATTTTACACGCATTTTTTGGAGGTTATTGGGTTCAATATGCGCATCCGTAACTTTCGGTATGAGACTTAAGTTTTTTTCCTTTTGATGTTTGTACAATTTTTCTATATACATCCATGAAATTCTTTTTCCATCATAAAAAAAATCATTAGTAAGGAGATTATTTCTCACACATTTGAGCATGTGCGGTACATCAAAAATGTAATAAATTTTGTGGTTATTAAAAATGAAGTATGGCTTTTCTATGGTTACTTGTTTAATTTCTTTTGCATATCTGTCAAAATTTGACCCCTGATCAGATACAATAGCCATCACTTTTATACCTATCTGAAATAATTTAGACATAACTTCGTTCATCCAGTTGTCCAACTCTTCGTACTGCTTGGTGCTTGCTAGTAAGGCGTAGGCTATTGGTTGCTTCCAATTAACTACTATTCCCCGAAGCATAATAACATAAGCATTTGAAGCTGCTTCATTGGTTATATTTCCATTAACATTGTGAAGTCCAATTATTTCGTCATTTTTTATATCATAATACAAATGTCGCTTTAAAACCATCTCATCTACACATATTATGCAGTATTTAGCTGTGTCAGGCAATGATTTAAATTTTGAAGCAATGGTATTAAAAATCCGGTCATCTATTTCTGGTCGAATATTTAGTTTCAATCTTGATAAAGTACTTTCACTAGGCAATTTTAGTAATGATGATAAACTGCGGTAAGCTCGCGGGCTGGAAAAATGAAGATTCATTGCAAACAATTTAAATTCAGGATCATAGCGATTACCTTTATATTTATTTTTTAAGCTCTTCTGCCATTCTCTAAGTTTAGAAAATATTCTAGTTATTTTACCATCATCATCATCGTCGGATAGAGCAAGTGAACTTGATTTTGAGGCTTCTAATTGTATTTTCCTTTGGTCTAGTTCATATTGTAATCGCTTTCTCTTAACTTCAGACTCCTGTAATTGTAAATATAGCTTCCTTTTCCTTGGCGTACCTGATGAAAGAGCTACTGGAGTTTGAGTCTGCATTTCTTTTATGTTTATGTCAGTTTGTGTCTGATGTTCGGTCATAGAAGCATTTTTAATTTTATCTACAGGTAATATGTTTATATGTGAATCCATGGTTTGTATAGATACGTCGAAAGTTTTCCGAAGATTTTCAGTTTTTGATGTACTCTGTTGCTGTTGTGACTCGGTTCCTATAATATGTAATGTTGGTATTGCAGTTGGAATCAGTATTCGTTTATTTACAAAAGACATCATTGAATTTTCAAAATGTTGTGAACATACTTTGTAACTTCCGTGTTTTAAGTTCGGTTTATTTAATAAATCCGGTCTTCCGATAATTTTTAACCATTCTTTGCGCCTGAAAGACAGGAAAAAATATTACCTACTAAAATTATAGTAAACCGAAAAAAAATCTTAGTCCGCCACTGCTTTGCCCATTCTCTTTTGGGGGCTTTCAATTATTACATAAGCAACCTTTCTGTGATTATATATTATGATTATACATTAGCCCCTGTATAAGCAATTATAAAGAAATTGGGAATTCCCCCCTCCCACAAATGATAAGACGTAAGAATTTTTTCTTTACTCATATGATAGTGTAGAGTGGTTAAAGTCAGTATACTAGAATGGCAGAATAAAATTAGTATTATTAATTTTTAGTATAAATATTGTTTTATATTTTTTAAGAAGCAAAAGCAAAAGTAAAAAAGAACTGAACATTTCGCAGTAAGCGTAAGTCGCGTAAGTGAGGTAAGGTACCTATTCTGACTATGATCGATTGACTTTGACTTTTTGCTACCTACTATGTGAATTCTGTGCACAATGTATGCATAAAACATCTTTGGTATGCAACTTGCAAGGCCATTCGTCGTGAATCGCGATGCTTGGATGAAGAAAATATGCGAAAATAAATATACCTAATACGATTCCTAAATGAAATGTGATCGTATTCTACTTACCTACTTAGTTAAAAATGTTGTAAACAAAGTTTTAATTTAAATATTTTAATTCGATAAGACTATTATAGGTATGTAAGTAAGTACTTGAATAATGAAGTAAATTTCTGGTTAAAGTTTTATAATAAAGTAGGTACTTAGGTATTATTTCTGTAGTTAAATTATTACTTAATTATTTTTTCTCTGTAAGTACCTATCTAACAAAAAAAATGAAATAAATTTACCTTTCACTATCCTTCGGTAACTTAAAAAATGATATAGTATCTGAATCCTTTTGTTTGTTCAAGCAACCATCCACGCAACAATTAGTGTAGGAACGACGCTTTGCCATTATAATTTATCAAAATAGATAGGGTAATATACAAATATATTATTTTTAAATTACATTAAACCCTTTTATAACTATTTTATCCTACAATTAAATTTACAAAACACTAAACAAAAACTAATTCAATAAGTATTTACAAAAAACTATTTACGTAAACAGCGTTATAAACTTTAACATTCAATCGCCTAGAATGCACTAGCCCCGACTGTGTATCTACCCCTGGGGCAGCTCGCAATTGTAGGTTTGTGGGAAATTATTTCACGCAGGTAGCAAGAGTGACAAAGGCCTGACGCAGGTAGCAAGAGAGAGAAGTCTGCTTTTTTAACCCATAGATTACTGTATATTTTAACCACTCATAGACTACGCAATTACCACTAACAACTTAGTTAGATCTATGGTCAAGCCAAAGAGTATAGTAGGTGAGGCCAAAGACAATTTTTCTTAAATGAAGGTAAATATAACAGAGTTATTACTAAGTTCTTATTCAAAAATAAAAAATTATCAACAATTAAAATTTCCCATTTTCTGTATGAAGGTCAATTGAGCACTAGAGAAACAACGATTGCAAGACGTTGTCCATAAATAAAATAATTCTAAACTTAAACAAAAAATAATTTCTAAGCTTAAACAATTTTTTTACTAAGTTTTTTAACATCAGAACTGGAGTCTACTCGCTGAATCACTCTCGTACAGCGTTTGTACCGGTTGGTAATGGTACGGATGTCGGCCTTACAGGTGCGCCACCGACCATACCTTCTACTATGACATACCGAGCCGGCGTTTTACAATGTTCGTTGAGACGTTAGGGTCGTCAATAAAATGTTGCATAATTGTTTCTTCATCGTCAGGTGTAAAACGTCGTGGTCTGCCAGTATCCACTTGATTTCTGTGTGCCGCTTTCACTTAATCGTCGATAAGTAGCTACGAATACAGAAACGTGGGGAAGCTTGTGATTAGGAAAGCAACGTTGAAATTCTCTTCGAGCCCCAGCAATGTTGCCGTCAGCAAAACCATAACAGTACATGATGTCGGCATATTTTTTTATTAGAATACGACGCTATTTTATCTTCTACGCACAAAAACAGTAACAATGAACGGTCAGTAGCAGATAACGGTAACAGCAATAATGACAATAACGATAACGACTGAAAACAATAACAAATGATTTAACGCAATGAGAGTTTATGAGAAGAAAGCTTAAACACGTGCTTGCGCAGCGATAGTAGAAACTAACTAACGAGCGTTGCTACGATTCAATTTAAAATGGCCGTCTGCATTCTGAATAGTTGTCAACAATTAATCAGCGCCAAGTGAATAAAAGTGTGCAAGATCGTTCCTAAGAGTAATCATTCTTTATCGTTCTCTACCTGCGTTAAGTAAAAGACCCTATTATTATTATTATTCTTTGACTTCACCAGGATATTAATACCTTTTTAGATAGCTGATTAAATTGGCATATTTTTTAAAATATTTTTGTGTTTCATGTCATAGTAATTTTTGAAATAAGTCACATTTTATTATACATAGTGTAAAAATATATTTTTTTAAATTAAAACCCATATTTTTTATTTGAATAGTTTTTGTAATTTTATGATTGTATTTCGCTTCGTTGAAGCTTCAAGAAAATAAATAAACTTAAAAGAAAGCATACAAAAAACTATTTAATTTTTATTTAGAATTTAATACGAAAAGACCTCTCAAGACCTGTTCATTTTCGACCATACATATGGTGGGTCAAATTTGTAGCATTTTGACTCCCTTATCATGCTCTGCCAGGAAGTTGTCCCAGTAAACCTGTATAATATGGTTTTTAAGGGTAGAGTAAATTAATTAGATTTTTGTGTTTGATTAATAAACATCGTTTCATAAATTAGTACCTATGATTTATTGAGCTAAAACATGCGTTATAATTATCCCTTACCTAATATTTACCAATACTACATAATCAAATTAACAACTTAAGAACAATAACGCATAGGCGTCAATTTTACGCTTGGCATAATGGGCATTGAGCGATACGCGCGCTCTATAGCTTGCTTATTTGTACTCTAAGTTCTGAATAATCTTATCTATTGGTCTAAGGGGTCCCTTCTAATTATTACATACTCTTTGGAGGGTTTTATAACTTTGATTAGTAGTTCTCCACTTGGATACGGCCGACGCTTGATAAATTAAGCACATTTTGGGACACGTGAGCGTGACAAAATATGCTTGGATAAAGTATCATACACACAGAACACTATTACTCCTACGGAGATCATACAAGTGTGTGCCACTCAATGACATTCCGAATGAAAATCGCGCATGCGCGGTTAGAATACGATGTCATCATAGATTAACCTCAGCGCGTGGCAGACGGGATATACTGTTCATTACATCTACAAGAATTGTAACATTTCTATTTAATATTTATATACAATATTTATTAGGTATCATAGTAAAAAACTAACGGTAAAATCTTAATTATCATACGGTCCTACTACCCGCGGTATAATGCAAAGAACACTGGCTGCGTTTCCTTGCTGAATGGGCTACACTTAGCCTTTGAGCGAGAAAAGAAACAGCCGTCTAATCACCAGCAGCGACGACCAGCGGACACAGTTCCTTTAGGAACTTCACCGCATATAAATCCCACAGGCCGATAATCTCTACAGCAAATGATACAAATACAAAGTGTTGGTAGTTTATTTTTTTTGAGATTAATATTCGCGGCACTTACTTAGTTCAGCAGCTTCCGATGCCACTCCGGCTCGAAACGAGATTATAAGATGATTAAAAAACACTGAGATAAAAGGCTGCCAAAGACAGTGATTAATAGTGTTATTTTTTATAATTAAAACATCGAGTACCTACAATTTTTTAACATTTATTTTGCATATATTATTACATAATATATGTTATGTGGTAAATTAATATGATATTTCATTATATTGTGATGTTATATTTACAGCTTAGTTATAAATTTTGAATTTTTGTGAAGGTAGCTATTTGAAATAGTTTAAGTCTAAGCAAATTAAATATATTTATTTACAATGATCTAAAACATTATTGCATGGTAGATCCGTGCTGCAGTCATACTACAGCTATGGTTGTAGCAGCTTTCACGCACGTTCTCACAGAATACTAGTGTAAAATAGCAGCTTAATGCTGCTGTGTTTCGTATGGTGAGTATAGAGAACCGGCGACCCTTTCGACTGGAAACGAGGCATTCTTAATGAGGGTAGATGTAGGTATACGTCTATGGGCCACAGCATACACTTACCATCAGATAGACTGTGTGCTTGTTTGTAGCCCTTGCTCTATATAAAAAAAGGAACAAAGATGTGTATAAATTAAGGGTCGTATTCAGAGTTGGTGCCCAAGTTATTTAAACAACGTTCAGCAGATTATTGCTCAGCATTATATTAGGTTTTTTTATGAAACGAAAGTTAACGTGGTTTTTTTCTACATTTTTTATTTCTATTAGTCAAAGTAATCACCCATGCAATTGATGCATCTTTGCCAACGCAGTGTCAGTTTATTGATGCCCTTATTAAAGAAATCAGCTGGACGGCAGGCATAAAACTCTTCATGGGCATTTTGTACTGCCTCTCGGGTATTGAATATTTTTTCCGCCAATAAGTTATTCAAATTCTGAAAGTAGTAGGCGCAAGGTCTGGTGAGTACGGCAGATGACGAATAGCTTCCAACCCCAGCTCTTGTAACTTGGGGACGGTCTTTTGTGCAATATGAGGCCGCGCGTTGTCTTGCAGGAGCAGCGGGGGCGAGTGATTGACCAAAGCTGGTTGAAGACATGCGAGATTTTCCATCATTGTGTTCAGTTCTTCATAGTACACAACTGCAGTAATGTGTAGTAATTTTGGAAACAGAGGATTAATAAAGATACCAATTTAAAAATACACTTTACAAACGGGTACTTTAATTTAATAAAAGTCAAATACATAAGGTCGGGGAAAAGACTTCTTCGTATTTTATATACAAATTCAAGAGAATTTTTTCTTCTCAAATTTTTATTACATTTAATTATAATATATATATATTATTCCCGTTTGGTAAAAGCTGTGATGAAACACACTGACGCAAGACCACCAATCAGTGACCATCACTTTTTTAGGGATAAGTTTTCGTTTAGTGCATTGTTTAGGAGCTGAACCAGGATCCAACCAACTTGGTGAGCGCTTGCGATTGTTAAACAGAATCCATTTTTCAGTATTTATTTGTATTTAACGGCAATTTCATAGGTATTATTCCTATTATTCGCCGCTCAAGCGTTGGCTAAGGCTTTATCCTAGAATGGTGCTTGAGGGTTCATTCGTGAGAGTAATGCCTGAGTATTGATTGAAGTTGGTATTTGAATTTAAAATTGAATTCGTGCTTCTCTTTTCTCGTGGCCTAATCAACCTTTAAATAGTTATTCCTTATAGTAAAAAAAAAACAGTTGTCTTAAGTTTCCAGTAAGAACTATATTTATTTATTATACATTTTATAAAAGACACTTTTTTTTAACATAATATACAACATATTGTACAAGAGAAGTAAAAATACATATTATTTAAGTAAATTATCACATTATCTTTTTGGGCATATTTATCATATCGTATCCAATCCATAAATTGTATTTATTATAAATAAATAGCATAGAATAAATTATTTTGTTTTGCGTATAATCTACCTATATTCACATTATGGAATTGGTACAATACCTATGTGTCACGTCTGTGAGAACTATATTTCATAATCTATAATCTGCGTTGTTAAAATGGATTGCTAGCCCTAGCCCAAGGCCCTTGTTGGCGCGATATTTTCGTTTATTCGTTAGTTCTGTTTTATAAACAGCAAGAAGCGGAAAGTTCTTCTGATCGAGACGGAAATTTACCAGTTTCTGCGATTTTGAAGGTGATGCCTGGTTGTTTGCTTAATATATAATTTTATCTTGGATTTTTTATACATATTATTTAAAGAAAAAATATCTAAAAATCTTTTGTACCTACTATATTTACAGATTTTTTTTTCGGTAAACTGAATGAATAAAAATGAAATGAATAAAATGAATGAATGAATTTTAGTTAACGTTGTTTTCATAAATTTAATTTAAAAAAAAATCAATAGGTATGTACCTATATACGTTTTAATTTTGCATTTTTAGGGAAATTTTATCATTTTTTTAAACTAAAGATTCTAATAATTAAAATTTATTAAGACATAAATATTTTAACTTTCTATATCTCTTACACTAAGAAACATTTAATATATTATATATATTTTTTGCGCCGATGTAGGTACCTACACGTATTTCTACTAAGAT